TTTGGATAAAAAAATAATGCCTTTTGGTTCCTCTCTTATGTTTTTATCGTCAAAGTCCAACCTGACAATTCAAAAAAATTGCATCAATTATTATTTATTATTGTAATTATTCACTGAGCATTAGAGTACAAATGACATATCCATGAAACACAAATTAAGAAATGGGAAAAACAGAATTATATATAATGTATAACAAAAATCAATGCCTGCACATCTGTAATGACAATAAAAAGCATACATACTTTGGGTTATGATTTCCTGCTACATCATCATTTTGATGTTGTCTATATTGCTCTTCATTTTCATCGTGGCTAGGTCCTGATGATGTTGATGGCCTTGAGGGACTGGCACTTTCATCAGCTGGGTCCCACAGTGGATCATCTTCTTCACAATTAGATGCTATCTCCTCCATTGGACAATCCACAGGTTGGAATTCCTCTTCAAAATCTGTTTGCATACCTGTAAAGAAGCCCGCAGAATACTTAGATACATTGCAACATTCTTTTATTAATAAAAGCTTTTAATGATATGAGTTGCAAATACCTTTCGATGTCATCGGTTTAGGAGTAATTTTTTGGAATAGCACTTCTTTTGATTGCACGCGTTCTTGTAGCCTTTTTATTTTCGTTTGAAGAGTGTTAATCTTTTTCTTSAGACTTCTATTATCTTCAGATAAGTTCGTACAGGTAGTGCAACTTGGAGTAACTCGTGTTCCAATCTAGTAAAAAGAACGAGAGTATTAAAACACATCGGTTATGATAACATACGTCCATTCGTCGTATACTTTTTACTCTTAATTAGTATGTCTTTCAAAACCTAAAATCAAACGTTAAGGAAAAGAGTTTTAGTTCGCTGATTTTGATTAATAAAAGAATTCGAAGAGATGAAGGAATATAKAAGGAAACAACTCACCATCCTATGATCTCTCCGAGAATTGGGACGCGTATATAGCTCCGCGCGTTCTCCGCCACGTTTCCATATTGTCGGTATTGAGCCTGGAATAAGCCTTCGCATAGAGCCTTCCACATGGACCGTTCGTGTAAAACACGAATCTTCGAAATGATTAGAGCAAATGACAAACCGATCACTGGGATCGAAGTTCTTCCTGTGTGTTCTTACGAACTTTTTCCATTTCGCGCACAAGACTTGGTTTTGCGGCGAGTTATGATGAGAGTTTCCCTCCTTAGGCAGCGATTTATTGCTGGATGCTTGTACCACACACCGACTTGAAGGCATTTTGCCGGGTGGAGATACTTGACTACGCTATTTTAAGAGACTTTCCTTGATATGACTTGTGATCTCAACTCAACTTGCGAAAAACTACGCAAATTTCTTTGACAATCTGGGGACTTCACAAGTTTTCGTTGATTGGATGACGTCACTACCGGTCGCCCCATTCCGGCGCGGGAATTTCAAATTTCAAAGGTCTCGGAAAAGATAGTAAAAAAAACATCATTCCAGTGGGAATATTAAATTGAATTTTAGAACATGTGTTATTTAAGTGTTTGGGATTATTTTTACGAAGTTTAAGCAAGTTTCAAGATTTTGACGATTTTCGTCAGAGTAGCGCTTTAACTCATTGTCGACTGATGTCGATTTGTTGATTTTTCAACTTTTTCGACGCTAACATCTTGATAAAATAATTGACTTCCATATAAAATGTGCTGTCAATAAAACTATTTCGGATTTTAATTCCCTAGGGAGCATTAATTTATGCAGGGCTTTGTAAATTTAGGTCAGACCGTTTGTTTAGCGACTGGTTGAGCCTAAATTTACCCAAAAACCCGTTTATAAGTGTTTTTTGAGCTTTGTGCTGCCACAGGAGCCTCTAGGCTTGCATCATTAAGCTTGACTAGTCGGTAGAGACAATCTTCTGGAAGAAATCAGAGGTGGAAAGCGATTTTTCGAAGACAATGGCTCAAGTCACGGTTTGTTTTGAACTGGGGACATCATTGTAAGATCGCTTTCCTGGTCCATCTGTGGCAGATTTTACAACCTACCAAGGTAATTTTGGCAATATTTGACAACCAAAGAATGCAATTGGTCCGATATTTTGTAGGTGCGGGGGAGCTCATACTTATAAAAAAAGGAAGCTGTACTTGATTGATGTTTACTCTTTTTGCTACTCGAGTCAATCATAAATGGTGGTGAACGTATTTCGTCTCTACTGCCAAATACCCTGTCAACAG